ATTTACAGGTCAAAAGCATCAATTCTTCAGCACTCAGATTTCTTTAGAGTCCAACTCTAACATCCATATATTTGGCTCTCAGTACCCCATGAACACTTGTATACTTATGTTTGTGTGTGAATATGCGTCCTCATTCCCCTTGGGTGTACAACTGGGAGTAGAATGGTGGGGTCACATGGTAACTGGAGCAAACATTTTCAGGACTTGTTAGACTGCTTTATTATATATATATATATATATTCACTGTGCTGGGTCTCAGTTGGAGCAGGTGCCATCTTGAGTCTTCATCATAGCATAGACTCTTAGCTTTGGAAAGGGTAGTCTAGCTCCCAGACTAGGGGGTTGAACTCATGACTGTAAAATATTCCCTGCTCAGAGTTATACACAGTATACAAGTCTACGGACAGATTCCTTCAAATAATTTTATCACTTTATGCTGAGAATTTTCAATCTGTATGTATTAAACCCAAATTGTCGAATATAGTTATAATCCAGCTAAACCTCGAGTAAGCCATCAATTAACCAATCTGTACCAGTGCCCGGCAAACTGTGTGTTGTGTTTAGTCTCTCAGTCATACTCGTCTATTTGTGACACTATGGACTTCAGTCTACCAGGTTCCACTGCCCATGGAGTTCTCCAGCAAAAATACTGTTGTGGGTAGACATTTCCTCGCTCTAGGGGATCTTCCAAACCCAGGGATTGAACTTGCACTGCAAGCAGTTTCTATACACTCTGAGCCTCCAGGGAACCCCCCCAAATACTGGAGTGGGTGGCATATCCCTTCTCCAGCAGATCTTCCCATCCCAGGAATTGAGCCAGTGTCTGCTGTGTTGCAGGAAAACTCTTTACCAGTTTAACTATCAGGGAAGTCCTATGACCCATGAATCAAAGACAGCCAGCTAGGACTTCTCTGCTGGTCCAGTGATTAAGACACGTTTCTCCCAATATAGGAGCCTGGGTCCCATCCATTGCTAGGAGAGATCCCAAATGCTAGTTGATGTGTACAACCCTCCCCCTGCAAAAAAATCCAGTCAGCTGTCTTTTTTTTGGTGGGGGGGGGTCTGTTGGTAAAATAAAAATTTACTGCCAAGTGATCACAGCCTTTTGTTTATGCACTGCTACCAGAGAGAATGGAATAGTGTGAGGCCCATAAAGCCAAAAATATTAGCTACTTGACTTGTTACTAAACAAATAAACAAACAAACAACAAGACAAAAGTAACAACAAACTGCCAACCTCTGTTCCATATCAGAAAGCCATTCTTTTTACAAACAGCTAGGAAAACTAGCAAAAAAACAGATGAATATTTATATGCATACAAGGATACAATTTTAGAAGTGCACTGAGCTCTCACCATATACCTTGGTTGACCTGAAAATCAATTCCAAACCTCTCCAGGCCTTACAGCAAGGAAGTATTCCTCTTTTGGGTATTACAGAACTGAAAACAAAGCCACTAGCATACTCATGCATTAAACCACAAGGTACTTAGACTTCTTTCTTCTCCTGCAACCCAAGAGCAACTCCCAAGAACGTAGGATAACAGAGTATATTATTGATTGTTAGTTGACACCATAAACGAAATAACTATTCCTAACAGAACTATGAAGCAATCTGTTTGTCTAACAACCAGTTTGAAACTCGAGACAATGTTCATCCTGTCATAATTAATGACAGTTCTGAACATTTATAAACTTCCACCTGGCCAAGATTACACACTCACCCAGAAACCTCCCATGTGAAAAATACAGGATGGAGAGTTTAAATTTTTATTGGCCCCAGCTGGGAGTCCCAGGGGCTGTTTCCAATTGGAGGGTTAACAGGCAGGTAGCTGGGATGGGTGGGAGGTGGGAGTCCTTGTAAAAAGATGGCATGAATAGCAGGGGAAAGAACATAAGACTGGACACGCAGTGATGGAGGCTGTCCACACTGAAAACAGTTCCATGAACTGCAGAGGATGTTGTTGTCATGGAAAAAGAGAATGAAGGAACAAGTTCAGTTCAGTCACTCAGTGGTGTCCAACGGTTTGCGACCCCATGACCCGTAGCATACCAGGCCTCCTGGTCCATCAACAACTACTGGAGTCCACCCAAATGCATGTCCATTGTGTTGGTGATGCCATCCTTTGCTTTCCTCTTCTCCTCCTGCCCTCAATCTTTCCAAGCATCAGAATCTTTTCAAATGAGTCAGCTCTCTACATCAGGTGGCAAAAGTATTGGAGTTTCAGCTTCAACATCATGGAGGAGAAAGAAGGGGTGGGTATCCCAAAAGACACAACACACAGACACACGCAGAACTGATACATCTGAGCATCACAAGAAAGCCTTTAGGTGAAACCATGATGATTGAGGAACTTTCAGGTTCTTAGGACAGTTTCCGAAGGTGGCACTTCCTACAGCAATACGTCACCTATGAATACACTCAGCCATGAATTGGTGGGCTTTTCTGTCTCATCCCCATAAACCCGTGCATGAAGACTTTCTCAAAGTGCTGTCATTACCGTCTGGCTGAGGGACTTGCCAGCTGGTCCAGTGACTAAGACTCTGGGTTCCCTAATGCAGGGTCCCTGGGGTTCAATCCCTGGTCACAGAACATGATCCTACATGTCACTGCTAAGGATTTTGAATGCTTCAGTGGAGATGGAAGATCAACAAAGATCCGGCTCGGCCAAATAAATTTAAAAAAAAAATGAACAAAGGTCTGGCTTAGCCTGAAGCCCAGTTCATACCATGTTGCTTTCTTTCATATGCAAAGACTTCTCAGCTCCTCCAGCCACAAAGATTGCCTTCCAAGGCAGCCTACCTACCTTACACAAACCACACTTTGCCTACTCACAGAGCAAAAATGACTTCAAAGTTGGGAGACCTGTGGGGATCTCTTCTCTTCTTGGCTTTCTTTCCGAAAGAAAAAAAAAATGCAGTTGTCCAATATTTTTCTCACTCATGGTGAAGAAAGCTGCAAATGACACAGGTTTGATGACCTCTGGTCTGTACTCTTGACCCCATCAAACTACTCCCAAGAGGAGGACTTCATTAGGCTTGAACCTGGTAAAGCACAGATCTGAATCTCGTCCTAGTAACCCAGGAATATGGCTCTGCATGCCAGCTGCTTATACTGTATCATGCATTACACATGATGGGTTGTGCCTTGAATGCATCGTGCATTCGGGACACGTACACTCCTTTTATTGCAACCATCTGTTTAGCAGTCAAGAGAGTCCTGGGCATTGCCAGTTGCAGAAATCACTGTCTGCAGGGAGCAATCCTGTCCTACACCCCTCAGGCAAAGTCCTCAGCATTGCTTGCTATAGCTCAGATCAGAAAACAATGAGCAAAAGAAAACAAAAACAAAAAACAAAACAAATAAAAAAACAAACAAAAGTCCCTGTTCAAAAAGGAAAGCAGGCAAGGATAAAGGAATCAACACCCAACTACAAAACCTGTCCATGTGCACTGACCCAAGCTCACTCACCAGTTTGAATATTGTGGTTTGGATTATTTTCTGGGATTCTGTGTGTTAAACTCCTCTTGAGGTGCCAAGGGGTGTCCAAAAATGAACAGACTGTTTAGTTGTCCCTAGATAAACATTTACTCTGGAAACAACAAGATGGAGGGAAGAAGAAGAAGAAAAATAAATAAATAAAAACCAGTCATTGGCAGTCTCTTTGGAAGCAAGCTTTCGTATTTCATCCAATGGATGTACAGATGTTCACCCACCAAGGCCATGGGACCCCTATTCTCATGGGAATCAGGACCTACTCGGTAAGGGACTGAGTCAGGACATTGGGGATGAAATGGTCAAGGCTCAGGGTGGAGATGAAAGATCTTCCCTGGACAGCAACTTGAAAGACCCTGCACAAATGGGGGTGGACACTCCATGCAAGGTGGTCCAGACCCAGGCCCCATTGGAAGAATGGCAGCCTGGTGAGGCAGCACCCTGGCAGGGGAGCTGTTCAAAATGAGTCCATAAAGAGGAAGATGAGGAATTTGACTTTGAATTTCAGAAGCCTGAAGGTTACCCTGGAGGCAGCGGTAGGGTAGCAGTTGCGGGGGGTGGGGGGGTGGTGTCCCAGAAGGCCAGACATGGAAACAGGGGAGTGGCCTTGTATTATGTGAGCAGATTCATCTAGCGGCTTCACTCCTTAGGTAGGCAGGAAAAAAGCATCTCTCCCACCCAAAACATACCATCAATTGGCAGTGGCTCAAACCAATGTAAGCAAGGATTAAGATGGAAAAGCAGGTCAAGGGAAATACGTGATGGACATCAAGAACCACCACAGGAAAGGGGTGTGCAGTATAGCTCAGATGTGGAGCTTTGACTGATGTGGAAATCGAAACCACCGGGGATCAAAATGGAAGGAGGAGGAATATTTCTATGCCGGATCAGATTTCAAAAGTCATGAATCACACCCATACTTATCAGCTATGACGAGGAAGCAGTCCAGAGAAGAGCATAGGATAGCACTGGCTTCTGCAAGCCAGGGCATGCATTGATGTCTTCTCCGTAGACACACGTCTGAGCTCCCTTGATTCTGAAGAGAAAGCTGAGATATCCAGGAAAAGCGTGCAATTGCAAAGCAATTGGAGAGCAGATGCCTGTCGGAAAAAAAAAAAAAACAAAAACAAAAAACCAAAAACATAAATATAAAGCCCCAGCACGGGGGCGGGGTGGTGGGGGAGGTCGACCAGCCAAGCGGGGGGCTGGAGGCGACGCAGACCTTCCCCTTTCTTTAGTTCTGGCCTGCTCCCCAGCTACCTGCTCTGGGTTCCTGGGACCCGCGAGGTCCAGTCTGAGGGCCCGGGGCCTACGTGGGCCCGCCGCCGGGCCCCATGAGTCATAGCCTGATTAAACTGCTGGCGGCCTCGGGCAGCGACTCCCCGACGCGTAGTGAGAGCCGGCGCCCCTCCCGACCTGCTCGCTGCCCTCGGACCTGACCGGGGCAGCGGAGGACTAGGGGAGGGCGGCAGCCGGATCGCCTGGCCTCAGACAGCCGCGCGGCAATGAGGGCGAGTCAGAGGCCAGGAGGGGTGTCCGCAGCGGCGTGGCCGCGCGCTGCTGCCTCGCCTGAGGAGATGGAGAAGGAGGCGATGGCGAGCGTCCCTGGGGAGGAGACGGAGGACCTGGACTTTCTGTCCGACCTGGAACTGGCGGACCTGCTGGACCCCCAGCAGCCGGACTGGCACCTGGAGCCCGGGCTCAGCTCTCCGGGGCCCCTCTCCTCGTCCGGCGGAGGATCTGACAGCGGTGGCTTGTGGAGAGGCGACGACGACCAGGAGGCCGCGGCTTCCGAGATGCAGCGCTTTTCGAACCTGCTGCAGAGGCTGTTAAAAGGCATCGGAGCTTGCAGCAGCGGCAGTGACAGTGGCGGCGGCGAAAAGAGGCGGAGAAAGTCCCCAGGAGGCGGCGGCGGCGGCGGCGGCAACGACAGCAACCAGGCGGCGATAAAGAATCCCCGAAAGGCGGCGGCGGCGGCTGCCTGCCTCAACCGGCTGAAGAAGAAGGAATACTGATGGGGCTGGAGAGCCGAGTGCGGGGGCTGGCGGCCGAGAATCTGTAGCTGGGGGCTAAGAACCCGGAGCTGGGCAAGCGCGTGCAGGCTCTGCAGGAGGAGAGTCGCTACCTTCGGACCGTCTTAGCCAACGAGACCGGACTGGCTCGCCTGCTGAGCCGGCTGAGCGGCGTGGGACTGCGGCTGACCACCTCGCTCTTCAGGGACTCGCCCGCGGGGACAAGACTACGCTCTTCCCGTGGGGAAGCATCAGCTGGACCCGCTGGAAGACCAGGATGACTCGGCCGGAGGAGTGTGTCTGCATGTGGACAAGAATAAGGTGTTGGTGGAGTTCTGCTGGGCGTGCGCCTGGAAAGCGTCGTCTTCTCTTAAAATGTAGGGTCAAGTAATCCGCAGTTTATCCGCATTTATCCGCATTTATCCCCTTTCAACTCCCTTACATCATGTAAAACACCTTAGTGGGACATCGTCACTGGACACATTTCAGAGGAGAAAAAAAAAAGTAATATTTAATCTTTAACTGTTTAGCTTAAAGCATGAATGTGACACTGTAACCAACTCCTAATGATAACAAGTGACTATTAAATCTCTCTGACAGTTTCTTTTTTAGGTGATTTCCTTCTTGCCAGGCTCGTTGTAGGGGTTACAGAACAGTCGTTCCCGCCTCACCACCTGTGGATACAGCTGTTGGGGCAGAAGAGACGGGACCAGCTCCTGGCTACATTTCCTGCTTTATTTTAAAAGGTAGTATAAGAAATGAGGAAAAAGGTAATTTCAGGGCTTCTGCTTTTATTTTTAAATGTTCATAATTAAAAAGTATTTTCCAGCAGTCCAAAGATGTAAGTTATCTTACACATAAAATGTTTTATTTTGTTGTTATTTGGCTATGAAAATGGAATCTTGTTCTTGCACAACTGTAAATGTTTTGTTGCTAGATAATACACTCTGAGACCTAACTTGGTCTCTGGTTTCCAGTGCATTACAGCATATTTTGTAAAATCATCTACTGCACTTGAGCATGAATATGGATAGTAGCCAAACTCACAACCTGGATTGATGAACCTGCTTATACCTAAGTGCAGGAGCAAGCCCCTCACAATGCAGCTGCATGGATTTTAGTGCCTACTGAATAATACATAATATATATAAACCAAAAGTAGTTGGAAAAATTATTTAAAATGACTAATTTGTGCTATCTTTATGGAATGTGTTAAATGTAGCTTTTTGAAACAGAAGCCTTGAATTGAAATTTAATTAATACTTGAGCATTTTGTGTGTGTGTGTGTATATATATATATATATACCTTTGTATATAATTTTGTGCAGTACCAATGACGAAAATATGGTGTCATAATAAAATCAGGTTTGTTGATCTTTCAGTTATGGGCTCAAAGAATTTATTCATCTCTTAACATGACATTGGAAAACAATGAATGAAAATAGGAAAAATGATTGTTGTTAATGCTGTGGGTCTTAGGTTCTGGAAGCAGTAAGTGCGTTTTTCTAAAAATTATACCATTCCTTTGGAATATTTTCTTCCTAATGTCAGTGATTTTCCTGCATTATTTGAAGTTTGGGGGCTGGGGAGAAACAGTCAAAGCTTTCTGAATTGGGATACTTTGAAATTCCAAGTACAGATTTTTAGAATGTCATTTTTTAAATGGCAGTTTTTGGAAACACTTGATTAATAACTTTTGAAAATGGAGATTAGTATCAACTGTTTTAAAAGCTGCTTTGTTAGGTTCCTTATGTTTTAACTGTCCTTCTTAGTTCTCATTTCATTCTTTTTTTCTAATTTTGGTGACTTATAGTGATTTTGTCATTTTTTTGCATCAACATCGTAGTCTTGTTTTTACATGGTATTGCATGTATTTAAGACCTATCTAACAGGGACTTTAAATAAATTTGGTCATATTTATGTGTAAACACATTTTACTGTAAATGTTTGGGTTTCTGAATTTACAACAGATCTGTTTATTTCAGTATGTAGTAAACAATAACTTAAAGTGTTCTATTCATTACTTGTTAATTAAAAAGTTATGATTAATATGAAAAAAAAAGCTCCACCAAAATGTGTTCTAGACTTCCATGCACTCTCGTCATTGGTCTCCGTATCCTTGCACAATCCTGGGGAGTATCGTATCACTACTCAGTGGAATTCAAGCTTCCCAGGAGCTCTGAGTTGAGTTCAGTCAATCAGTTGTATCCAACTCTTGCAATTCCAAGGACTGAAGCATGTCAGGCCTCCCTGTCCATCACCAATTCCCAGAGCTTGTTCAGTGATGACTCAACTTGCTCGTTGAGTCAGTGATGCAATCCAACAGTCTCATCATCTGTCACCCCCTTCTTCTAAAGGCTTCAATCTTTCACAGCATCAGGGTCTTTACCAATGAGTCACTTCTTTGCATCACATAGCCAAACTATTCAAGTTTCAGCTTCAGCATTGGCCTTTCTAATGAATATAAGGGACTGATCTCTTGTGGGATGGACCGGTTGGATCTCCTTGCAGTCCAGGGAACTCTCAAGGGTCATCTCAAACACCACAGTTCAAATGCTTCCATTCTTCAAGTCTCAGCTTTCTTTATGGTCCAACTCTCTCATCCATACATGACTACAGGAAAAACTATAGCTTTTACTAGATGGACCTTTTTGGGAAAAGGGACATCTTTCTCTACATTTTGGTATGGTGGCTAACTTTGTAACAGCTTCTCTTCCAAGGACCAATAGCTCTAGAAACATCTTTAAGAAGGAAGTTCCATGTAATTTGAATTTTAAAGTGTACTCTTTTCATTATTATTATTATTATTTTATTTTATTTTTTTGAAGAGATGGAACTGTCCACTAGTTATTTTCCAGTACAACCAGGAAAGAGGATGTAATGAATTTGCTATGGCTGACCTGGGCTTCCCAGGTGGCACTAGTAGTAAGGAAGCTGCCTGCCAATGCAGGAGATGTAAGAGTCATGGGTTTGATCCCTGAATTGGGAAGATACCCTGGAAAATGGCACAGCAACCAATTCCAGTATTTTTGAATGTAGAACCCCATGGACACAAGAGTCTAGTGGTCTATGGTCCAAAGGTTCACATAAAGTTGTACACAACTAAAGCAACTTAGCACAGCATACATGTCCTCAGTATCAGCTGACTATTTCATGGTGAGAGTGTCATTTTTTAATCCAAATATGCAAAGCCTACTCAATCACAATTTGAGTCACAACTGTGCATGTAATATTTCTTGGATGTTTAAAATGACCTCAATACCCAGATATTTTACCAGAATCACTTTCCAAAGAAAAGTACTCCTTGATCTTGACTCTTTCTTGTCTCTCATCATGAGATTCCAGTTTCCCATAATGTGCCTTCAACATGCCATGTGGAAGTGCAAATCATACATGCAGTGCTTCTGATATTAAATGAGTTAATGGGACCTATGATGGAACAGCCTGTCAACATTTGGTATCCCCTTAAGGAAAAGTAGCTTCCACATTTTAGCCTGGAGAAGTCACTGGAATATCTCTTTAGAAGGGAAACTATATTTTCTTTTTTTTTTTTATCTTCAGTACATTCACTAAGAATGTTGTACAAACTAAACTGTCTGCAAATCCTGAAAACAACCAGTGAAACATCAGTAAGAGAGGAAATTTAGTTTCCTTGTGCTTGGTAAAATGTATATTGAGAAACATGAAATGTGGTAACCACATCCACCTTAAAGAAACAAAAAAAAAAAAAAAGGAAAATGAGAAATCCCCAAAGACACCACATATATTTCTGATTCAGATGTGCAAGTAAGTATTTAGTCCTGCACATAAGAACATAAGGGTGTGTTCTGAAGACTCTAACACCCTCCCTCCATTCATTGCCTATGTGAGGACTACATCACATGTAGCCCCAAGACCAAGAAAGGCAGATGTGGCCCGGACAAAGGCACAGATCCAGGTTGATGAATAGATCAGGCCAATGAGTTTTCTGAAATACCTGGAGGAAACAGAGGCTGCAGCTAGCAACGAGAAATCCACAGGGAAACAGGAAAGAACCTGTCTGCACAAGGAGATCTTTTAAGAAATAGAGTGTGTGGTTTTCCCTGTAGTTGAGTGGAGAGGAATTGCCTGCCAATGCATGGGAGACATGTTCAAGCCCTGATCTGGGAGGATCCCACATGTTGCAGATTAACTAGTCCCAGAGCCACTATGATTGCACCTATGGTCTAGACCCTGGGATCGTTAACCACTGAGACCACGTGCTGAAAGTATGGAAGCCCTAGCACCCTAGAGCCGAAGCTCTGCAACAAGAGAAGTTAACACAATGAGAAGCCTGTGTACCAGAACTGAGAATGGACAGTGTTAGTCACTTAGTCATTTCCGACTCGTTTGCACCCCCATGGACCCATTATAGTCCAGCAGGCTCTACTGTCCATGGGATTCTCCAGGCAAGAATACTGAAATGGATTGTCATGCCCTCCTCCAGGGGATCTTTCCAACCAAAGGATGGAACTCTGGTCTCCTGAATTGCAGGCAGATTATTTACCGTTTGAGCCACCAAGGTATCCCACCACAGCTACTAGGTAGTGCATACTTGCTGTGATGCGATAAAGCACTTGGCAATAAGGAAGAACCAGCACAACCAATAACAAATGCATTAATTGTTTTCACTCCTCACTCATGTCCCACTCTTGGCAGCCCCACGGACTATAGCCCACTGTGCTTCCCTGTCCTTCACTAACTCCTGAAGTTTGTTCAGACTCATATCCATTATTTCAGTGATGCCATCCAACCATCTCATCCTCTGTTGCCTCCTTCTCCTTCTGCTTTCAATCTTTCTCAGCATCAGGGTCTTTACCAAAGAGTTGCCTCTTCCCGTCACCTAAGCAATATATTGGCGCTTTGGCTTCAGCATCAATGCTTCCAATGAATATTTAGGTTTGATTTCCTTGAGGATGGAATTGTTTGACCTCCTTGCACTTCAAGGGACTCTTAAGAGTCTCTGTCAATAGCTCAGGTCAAAA